GTTGGTTGTTATGCTATACCTCAGGATTTAATTTAATTTTCAGCCTGTTTTGTTTTAAAACTCTCTTTCCCTCTCCAAACTCCTTGTTCTGGCTTTTTCCATATTTAAAAACAAAACAAAATGAAAAACAGTTCAGGATCAGCTCGTGGTCTTAGAATATCTGTGTGCATGCGTGGCAGAAGAACCCACCAGTGGTGAGGTTGGGGGGTGTCCACTCACTCAGGCACCTCCTCTAGTTACCAGAATGGAGGTTCCGCAAACAGTGGGAGGCCAATGAACAGATACCAAAAAAAGAAAATGAGAACGAAGCTAAACCAACAAAGTCTATTGTCCACCTTTACTCTGAGGTTCCCGTGGCGTTTTTCTGAGGTGTGCCTGCTCCCCTGCTTGGTCTCGCCCAAGCTGTCGTCTCTGGACCTCGGAGCCCAGCAGATTCAAAAGTACGATTTCTTACTTCCACTTCAAGTTCCACTAGCTATAAGCCTTCATATTAAAAAAAAAATATTCCTTCCTATGTGGTTCCAAGTTTTGGAGCTCTACCCTGAATCTGCTTTGCCTGGTATTCTGTGGTATTGCTGACGGTAAACCTCACTGCCCCTCTACCCTAACCACCATCAAGCCCCACCTCTTGAAATATTCTTTTAACCATTTATGCAACACCATTCCTCTTCAGTATGTCATTCCAGCATGGTAAACTATATGATTATCGGACTCAAACTGGCCAATACCAAACCTTTTCATTTTTGACAGTTTCCAGTTTTTCTAGATTAATTCTTCATACAGTCCTTGTTCTAGTTATTAATGCATGTTTTCAGCTGTTTCTCCACATTGTGTATGATGCCCTAGTAGCAAATAGAGGTCCCAGAAGCTTTTACTCCATTTGTGTCATCTAGGTCAACATTACTTTCAGGAGACAGCTCTTCCCCAGTCATATTTGGAGTGTCTTCCAACCTGAGGTACTCATCTTATGACACTTTATCTGACAATATTCATCTGCTAGTCATAATTTTTCCATGTTCTGAAAGTGTATCTGACAAAGTTTTGCTGCTATTCATAAGGTTTTCTGTCGCTAACCATTCAAAAGTAGTTTGCCTCTAGTCTGTGTTGGTTTGAAAGGGAGGGATAAGTGATACGGGCACTAGAAGGTAGACACACATTGACAGGACAGGCAATATACAACTGGAGGGAGGTTGGCAGAAGAAAGATGGGGGTGGGAGACACAGGGAGAAATTTAGTGGTTGAAGTAAATAGAGATACATGCTGTTAGCTACTGTTGGTGTAGGGAGAGGATTCCAACCATATAATGAAGGAAAGTATATGATTTTTTGATATAAAACTGATGATCTGCTCTGTAAACCTTCACTCAGTTTACAATAAAAAGTTGTTTGTTTGTTTAAAGTAATTTGCCTCTAGGAAGTAGATGCTTCCTAGTCTGCCTTAGTGTTGAAGCTCTGCTGAAACCTCTTCCCCCATGGGTGACCTGGTGGTATTTAAATACTAGTGTCATAGCTTCAAGCATCATAGCAACACATAAATCACCGCAGGACAACAAACTGATAGATGAGTGGTGGCACAAGACTGTAGATATTTAAGTTCTCTTAAGTTTGTTGTTGTTGTTGTTAAGTGCCTTCGTGTAGGTTCCAACCCAGAGTGACCTTGTATAGGATTTTCAAGGAATGGTGGTGAGCATGAACTGCTGACATTTCGTTTCAAACAGACTTTGCAGTCCAGCACATTAACCCGCAGTGCCACACCAGGATTAATCTGTTTTCTAACGTAAGCTTCCTAGAGCTACTTAAAAGAAATTTTTTGATATGTCCATATATATACATATATATGAGATGGATTGGCCAAGTGGCAGTATCGATGGACTCAAGTTTGGCAACAGTAGTGAGGTTGGCCCAGGATTGGGCAGTGTTTTGTTATGCTGTTCATAAAGTCGCTATGGGTCGGTACCAACTCGATGGCACCTAACAACAACAACTTACATTTGTCTTCAGGCGTGCTGTTCAAACATTCATCCTGACATTATTTTGATAACTTTTTTTTGACGAACATTTCTTCATAAAGCACATTCTTGTCCTGTTATTTGTTTACTGTAGTTTTACAATTGATTTGGCACTACCCATTCCACTCACAGCACTGTCTACTCATGCTTGTTGTTGTTGTTGTTGAGTGCCATCGAGTCGGGTCCGACCCATAGCGACCCTGTATAGGGTTTCCGAGGGTGTAAATCTTTACGGGAGTAGAAAGCCTCATCTTTCTCCCGCGGAGCAGCTGGTAGTTTCGAACCGCTGACCTTAAGGTTAGTAGTCCGATTCGTAACCACTACGCTACCAGAGCTCATGCTAGGTTTGATAAATCATTGCAGTGGCCACACTGGACTCAGACACCATACTGACAGTTAGGGGGTTTATTAAGGGAAGTAACAGGTTACAATACAGATCAGAAAATACTCAGGGCAGAGTTTTTCCAGACAGCTGCCGATAAGTGCCTACTTGGCCCTATGTCTCATCCTGAAGGCATTCAGCTCTAGTTCCTTGGGTCAACAAATCTAGCTCCCCTGCTGAATTGCCTGGTGATATTCCACTATACAAGCAAGCCAACTGCCAAAAGTCAGTCAACTTCACTTGCTCTTTGGGTTATGAATCCCACCATTGTGTCATGTATGTGCTCTGCCGTTTGATTCTTGTGCTGCTTCTCCACTGCCAATCTTCCATTGTCACAGCCCTCTGGCCCTGGGTCTAGGAAGTTCAGTGCACAAGGATCTTGAGGCCCAAAAAACATTTTCCTTTCTTGGCTCGTCTTTGACCATAGTGAGATCCTCCCTCCTACTTCTGAGATGGTTCATTTTATGCCCATGATAGAGTTTCCAATTTTTACAATTACAATGAAGTCTGCTAGCATCAACAGCTGAATCATGTCATCTAATTACTAACTTCTCCCACCTTCTCTTACCCAGGTCCAGAAGGGCAGAAACGTTGTTTGATGGGATTTACAGATTATAGTTAGAAGAGGAAGTAGGTTATTCACTACACCACACATTTCCAAGTTATAAAGCTCTAAATCATGTGGCACTATGGTTAATGTGCTGGACTTCAAGGTCAGTTTGAACCCCAAGGTCTGTGGTTCAAACTCATCAGCTGCTCCTTGAAATCCTTATACAAGGTCCCTGTGAGTTGAAACTAACTCAGTGGCACTTAACAACAATTCTTAGTAAAACATAAAGGAGGGCTTAGGACAAGCTAAAGTTAAATTCAGATCATGGAACTTTGATTCCAGTTTACTTCAATCATTTCCAGTTGTGCCAGCACCTCAGTTTTAGAATACCCTTATACATAAGGAAGTGGACTGTTCTCTGCTGGATATCAAACACAATTATGAGGAACAAACTTAAAATTTAATATGAGGAATGGAAACAGCAAAAAATTCTCTTATGTATGACTTCTTCTTGTAATTAACTATGGCTTACTCTGTTAAGGAATCCTTGGGTGCTGTAGTAATATAGTTGACTGCTAATTGAAAGATGCCTTGAATTAAAAAAAAAAAAAAAAAAAAGGCTTGGATATCTACTTCTGAAAAATCAGCCATTGAAACCCTATGGAACACAGTCATACTCTGAAACCCATGGGGTAGGAATCACCTCAATTGTAACTGGCTACTTGTTGTTGTTAAGTGCCGTTGAGTCGGTTCCAAACCATAGCGACCCGGTATAGGGTTTCCGAGGAGTGACTGGTGAGCTTGAACTGCCAACCTTGCAGTTCAAATGGCTTTGCAGTCTGGTGCATTAACCCACAGCGCCACACCAGGACTCCATAACTGGCTACTAGTAGTTCTTTAAAATTAATATGTTTACAGCAGAAGTGAATGCTGAAGACACCAAATAAAAATTGGCTTTAATGTTTAAATCTGTGAGTCATAGAAACCCATTTACAGATTACCAAATGGTTGCTAGTATCTTGATTTTCTTCTTAAAGCAAGGTTGGTGTGTTTTCTTGGTGATTTGTATAACATGATAAAGTGAATATCTTTATGGTTTGTGTTATTTGTCCCAAAATCAGTTAGTTATATCTAAATAATGTTGTATTGGGAAAAGGTTTTTTTTTTTTTTTTTTAAAATTAAAAGTAGCTAGTATATAGGCTCAGAAAAAAGAAACCAGAGGCTTAGCATTTTAGAAATATTATTGCAAAGCAAATCTGGCATTGATTTCAAACCAGTGCGATCTGGGCTTTGCTGTAGTTAATTATGCTTATGTATTTCTTGTCAATAGAGTAGAACACAGATCATCTGAAAAACGAAATGCTTTTACTGCGTGTATTGTGAAAGATGCTGACGTTTATCCTTCTTCATCAATCTTACCTCCTTGCCAGTATCCTACGTGCTGCCCAGGGAGAGAATGCCATTAACTACTGTAATAGAAGTACTCATTTAATTTAGTCACTACTTCCTGCTAATTTTTATGAGTGGTGGAGGAACCATTTTAAAAGGACCTGTTGTTTTGACAAATGTTCGGTGCCTTGTTGTGAGGGATATTTTGAATTATTTTCCCATCTCTAATCTTTTTTTTTTTTTCCTGTTTTCTAGTTAGAAATGCATTCTACTAGGAACATTTGTATTTAAATCTTTATTGTGGGTTGCTTTGTAGAAAGAATATGGGCAAATGAACACAGTTTTTATTTCTATACTTATTTTACAAGGTATTTTGGCTGTTTTCCTAGAGTTTATAGTCAATGCACTTTAACATTACCTTGCTAAGCAGATATAAAACTTTCCTGGTATGTTTCTTTGGATTATCAGATTGTTCCCCCCCCCCCCAAAAAAAAAGATATCCATTTATAAATATATGCATCTTTGAGTAATCAAATGATCTAGCAAAGAAGATAAGGATTCTAATCAGCTTTCTTACTGTGCTTGTGCCATGCACTGATTCACTCTTTTATGAATACATTTCTCTTGGAGCATGAATAATTATGAAACTTTTCTTTTTCTATCTTGGTAGGAACTGGGAAGTAACAACCCTCCACAGAGAAACTGGAAGGGGATTGCTATTGCCCTGCTGGTGATTTTAGTTGTGTGCTCACTCATCACTATGTCAGTCATCCTCTTAACCCCAGGTAATGTCTTTATTCCTCTTTTATAACACTATTTTGGATAATGATTTCACATTTAAATATTTAAATGCCTTAAGAGGGCAGCCAGTATGTGGTATCTTAAGGCACATTAGCATTGGTTGGGATATTTTTTTAAAAATGCATAAGCAGATAGTTTGTAAATGGCACAGTAATTCTGTTGTTCGAATATTATGCAGAGTATTTTTAGGAATTAAAAAAAAAAAATCTCTAAATTGTGATTCTGAAAGAAATCTTTAGTCTGCATTGCTACACTGAAACTTCTTATGTTTGAGAATGTGATAGGTAGAGGAGACATTTGACTTTTATTCTAGGTTAAAGGTGAGAAAGTGAAATATAGACGTTCACATCTTCTAAGAAAAAGAGTTTTATTTTCCTTGCAATACAGATTTCTGTGTTTCATGGAATTATTGTGAGCCATCACACTATCCGCAGCACATAATTGCAACAACAACAACAACCAGGCTACTGCTCTGAGCCTTTATGAATCCACCTTTAAGTTAAACAACCAAATCCAAACCCCACTGCCGTTGAGCCAGTTGAAACCTGATTTTTGGTGCTGTGCATTTTTGTAGGAGAAGAAATCCTCATCTTTCTCCATAGAGTGGCTGCTCAATTTGGGGTTAGTTGTCCAGTGTTTACCTCTAGTACTATAATGGTTCCTTTTATGTCAAACAGTAGCTTAGTAAATAGCTTATTGTTGTTGTCAAGTGCCATTTAATCAGTTCTGACTCATAGCAATCCTGTATAAGGTTTTCAAGAAGCGGTTGGTTGATATGAACCACCAACATTGTGGTTAGCAGTCCAGTGCTTATCCTACAATGCCACATGTTTCTTGGGCTTTAGGCTCTTTTGAAGAATTATCTGTGTAGTCATTTTGAGAAACAGTAACTTCAAGTTCAGACTAGAAGTTTTAGGATAAATTAGTCATTTGAATTGTTCATCAAGAATATACTGTATGAAATCCTTCATGAGCACAATTTAAATTTCTTAAATTTTATTTAAATCAGTTCTGTTCCAGCAGTTTCTCCTTGGCAATAATGATAAGATGGGGTATAAGAATTTCAGGAAGTTATTTTCTGACTGGAACATTTTTGACATCCAGTCAAACTGTTACCCTGATTTGAGTATCATTTATTACATAAACTTCATTCAATTTCTGATATTGGCTTAATATAATTTTCACTTTTAACACGGTAATATCAGTGGAAAGGGAGCGTTTCGGGGAAGAAGAACAAATCTATAGAGAGTAATCATAGTCTCTTAAAGTTGACATCTCTTTCTTCTTTGTATTTCTTTGCCAGCACATTTTCATTCCTTATTTCTCTCCTGATTAAGGAACCTCTCTCTCCAAATTGCCTTGGCAATAATCTTTGAACTCTACTCTTTAGATATATTGTAGCAACAAACTACTAAATCCTTAAAATTAGGTTGTTATTGCTGCTGTTAAGAGCCGTCAAATCTGTTCTAATTCAGATAATACCCAGTTGACCTGGTTTCAATGACTGGATGATCACAGCTCAACTAGAAGAAGAAAGAAGAGGAAAAAAAGAGTAATCTGATACAATTTGATGAACTTGACCTACACCTATGGCTGCAGTAGCTCAAAAGAGGGAACAAATCTTTACAGCAAGGATCATTCCCACCCCCTCCATACACAGAGTAGACAGGGATGTACAACTTGGACATTGGCTACCCAAAGTGGGGGGCTACAAATGCAAGAAGTGACTGGCTTACGAGCTTTCAAGAGGGAACCTAGATCCAGAGGACATGGAGCATGGTAGACTCTCCACTGAGTAGTATCCAGTCTGCCTAGGTGGGGGTGGTGGGGGGTGATGAAAGGAAATGCTGATAGGTCTCTTGTGATACAATAGTGAATAATTATTATGAGGACTGATTGTGAGGGTTGGAACTGTAAAGGTAGACATTTTGTAGCAAGGAAAGGAGTGATTAACTTTGCAGCCTAGGAGCTGAGGTCCCTGGGACCATGAAAGGAGAAGAGCAGAGAGGGGGACCCTACCCAGAGAAGCAGTGATGCCAGAGATAGAGGCAGAGATGATGACATGGAGAGATGGAGTGGCAGGGGATTTTAGACCCAGAGAGGGAGAGGGGCTGTGTGCTGACAACTGGGGGGGGGCAGACTTGTAGGGTGTACCCTTTGGTTCATTGATGATGCATGGAGGGGATTGTAACCATGACAATGAAACAATATACGATAGAATGAATGTAAAACTAATGTTCTCCCATGTAAACTATCACATAATTCACAATAAAACATTAAAAAAAAAAAAAAAATCTCCTGGCAAAACAAAAATCCCTTGCCTAGAAAGTGCTGTTGCGAAGTGCCTACGAGTCGGTTCTGAATCAGAGCAGCCCTATAAAGGATTTCTGAAGAGCAACTAGTGGGTTTGAATTGTGGACCTCGTAGTCTGCTGTCCAGTGCTGATTCTACAGCATCACATCAGAATGGTACCTAGAAGGTTCTGTCCATTAGTTTGTTTTCTTGGTTGACTATCATCTTTGAAAACTAGACCAACAGCCAAGAATTTTCTTTCGTTCTCTGCAGCCTGAAGTCTTAGTTCTGACCCAGGCACAGGATCAATGTTTGCTGAATTGTATCAAAATCAGCCAACAGATCTCTGAAGAGACGGAACTCAGATAAGCTTTGAAAGAATAAGGTGGTTTGAGGCAGGGTCAACTCCAGGAATGATGTACTACAGGAGTCCCAGCAGATCGGCAGCAAGGGAAGTAAAGGGTCTTAAGCTTCTCCACTGCATAGCTTTGCCTTTAGCCAGCCCTGTCTTAGAGCTCTGTAGTTCAAGGACATTGGAAATTCTTCTGTTGAACTCTGATTTCAAAGTTAACTCTGTTCACACAGACACCACATGCAAAGTGGAAGTGAGATGAAGGAAAACCGAGACACTTCTTCAAAGCTGGTTTGGTGTCCCCCACTTGTATTGGTGACCTGATTCTGAGAACTGAAGAATCTCCAAGGCAACGTCAGTAGCTTTAAAGTTTGAGTGGGATCCCACAATATGACTCCATAGTCTCAGAGAGAAACAGAAAGCACAGCCAGGAAAGCTCAGGCACAGATTGGCAGAAGGACTTTGACAAAACACATTGCTACAGTGTCATCTGGTTAGTCACCATAACACATGGACTTATGTCAAGTAAGTGAAAAAAAAAAAAATAAATAAATAAATCTGTTGTAACTCAAACCTTATACACTGTATAGGGTGTATAAGGTTTCCAAGGAGTTACTGGTGGGTTTGAATTACCAAACTTATAGTTTATAGTCCAGTGCTGATCCTACAGTGCCACACCAGGAGTTATAAAATAAGGTTGTTGATAAATGCTGTTGAGTCAGTTCCAACTCATAGTGACCCAGTATAGAGCAAATGGTAATCCTGAACCACTAACATTGCAGTTCAGTCCCATCTTGCAGTCCGAAGACTGGCTGGTGAACTTGAACCTTGATGTTGCAATTCAAATGACCTAAGTGACCTTATGGTAGCGTAGTGGTTACGAATCAGGCTGCGAACCTTAAGGCCAGCAGTTCAAAACTACCAGCTGTTACGCGGGAGAAAGATAAAGCTTTCTGCTCCTGTAAAGATTTACTGCCTCGGAAACCCTGTATAGGGTCGCTATGGGTCGGAACCCACTCGAAGGCACTTAACAACAACAACAACAAATGGCCTTATGGTCCAGTGCACCACGCCAGGACTTAGTAGTGTTTATTCAGAGTCCTGCATATTGGACTGCTAATGATAAGTGTGGCAGTTCAAACTCACCAGCCCTCCTCAGAAACCTTTATACAGACTCAGTGTGAGTTGGAATTGATGCAAAGGCACTTTGCAACAACAAGGTTTATTCAGGAAAGAAAAAAAGAATGCCGGGAGACACCAGTACGTGTGAGTGAGAACTGATGGTTACAGTGAGATGTTTTACAAAGAACAGAGGTAGTCCATAGAACACAGGCATAATAGTAGCAATCATTTGATTGATTAATCTTTTATTGATGCCACCAGAAGGAAGGGTTGGCTCTGACTCAAAGTTACATGACATTATGTACAACAGAATGTAAAAAAAGCGCCTGGCCCTGCCTCAACCTCACAATCGTCATTGTACTTGAATCCATGGCTGCCGTCCCTGTTCCAATCCATCTCACTGTAGGTCTTCACTTTACAAAAGATGATGCCCTCCTCCAGGGCCTGGTCTCTTCTGATAATATGTCCGAAATATGAAAGACGATGTCTGGCCAACCTTTTTCCTAAGGAGCATTCTGGCTAGATGTCTAACAACACAGATTAGCTTGTTCTTTTGGTAATCCGTGGTACTTTTAATATTCTTCTCCAACACCAAAAGTCAAATGCATGAATTCTTCTGTGGTCTTCCTTATTCATCTTACAACTTTCACATTCACTTGAGGCTACTTAAAATACCATGAATTGAGTTAGGTGCATGTTAGCCCTCAAAGTGGCATCTTTGCTTTTGAACACTTTTTTTTTTATGAAATAGATTTGCAAAATGCAACATGTCATTTGATTTTTTTGACTGGTACTTCCATGAGTGTTGACAGTTGATCCAAGCAAAATGGAGTCTTTGACAACTTCAGCCTTTTATCTGTTGATCATGATGCTATTTCCTTATTTATGTATGCTTACTCATCACTGTATTAGGAGGGGTTAGGAGGTAGGGAATGGGCTTCTATTGGATAATGGAGAGCAGAGAGAGACCTATAGAAATTGATTTCATGGACTAATTGCAGAGATTTTCAATCATATGCATGTATCCTTCAGGTTGTCATTAGGTGCCATTAAGTTGGTTCTGACTCATAATGACCCTAAGCCCAACAGAACTTGGATCCTGTGCCATTTTCACAGTTGTTATGCTTGAACCCTTTGTTGCTGCCACTGTGCCAATTCTTCTTGTTGCAGTTTTCCTCTTTTCATTGACCCTCCACTTTTCCAAGCATCATGTCTTTA